GTTCCTCCACCTGTCGTGCGATGGTGGCGATGCACGTGACAATCTTGTCGTCATATTCAATCGTGCGGGCGTAGTTTTGCTCAACATCTCCTTCAGGTACCAGTGGTTCGATGGATGCGTTCAGGTTGCTCAGCTGTATTCGAAACTCACTGAGCCTCACCGATAATACGTTGAGGCTTCGCTCGTCTGAGTGGTTTGCGATAGTTGCATTGATGTCGGAGCTCAGTCTCGTTACTTGAGACCTCAGAGCCGTCCGCTTCTGTTTTAGTCGTTCCATGCCGTATCTGGGTCTCGCGGCGTTGCGGCGTCGCTAGGCCTCGTTGAGTAATGACGCCGGTAGCGTCGCTCGTTCTCTTGCGGCGCCCCTGGGCATCTTTCATTGCGGCTGGATGCGCCGTCGTCGTTTGTTCTGACTTTATTGTTGTCATCTCGAGTTTTTGGCACCAAATTTAACAGAACTCCGCCGCGAGGAGCGAGCCATACGCCATTGTTGAACATGTATTTAGAAGCCTTCTCAAAATCCGAGTTTTGTTACGCGCTGCTGGTACTTGTACAACGTTTTTTTAAAATTACTCCAATCTTCTTTTTTTATGCAATAAAGAAAAGAATAATCGTGGCACCAAGCAAAAATGTCGGATTGCGGAAAGCATGGTCCGGGGTTCGATTCCTGCTGAGCTCTTTGGTGAATCTATGCGGTTTCGATTGTTTGTTCTTCGTTATAAAATATGTTGCATGCTTTGGACGATTATGTATTGCCTGCTACAGGCAATCCTTTATGTTGCGTGATTGGCCTGCGCGGAAATCTTTTTCTTCACACCTGATCGTTGCACTTTTCCATGAAATGCAGCTCATAAACACGTTCTGCGTTGAAATTGCAGGATCACGGCGCCTTTATTGCGGGTAATAGTAAGTCGCAGCAAACATACAAAAAATATGAGCTCCGTGACGATGCACTTTCGCCACAATCGGCTCCATCGGATCGTAGTGTTAGGCCGACCTAAAGTGAGTCCGCAGGCGACTGTCGCTCCCCACATGCACTCAGCACACCAAACCTAGTAAAAGAGAGCGCGGCGGGCATATGACGACGGAACTTGAGACTAAGTGATAGCGTGAAGAGCGCGATTAACCTCCTTTCCTCGCAAAACCAAAAGCGCTCACTGAGAATTCAAGGCCCCACAGACACCCGCCAAAGAATCAGAGCCGATGGAAAACTTTTAACTAAAGCACGCTCGTGACAACCTCCTCTCGTGAAACAATTTAAACATATCTTGATCATTTCGATGGAACCAGGACAGCGCAGGAGTGTGCCACGTGTGAAGACCATCCGGAATCACGCAAAGCGTCCTAAAACCATTTCAAACCATATATAATGCACGCGGCTTAGTACATGCACGTGTCATTTTGCGCTCTCGACGTGTATCAGAATGATCGAGGCGATTTCTTTGTGGCGTTAAATTTCTTTTTTTTTTTCTCTTTCCTGCGGTGCACGAAGTCGACGACGATACGGGTCACGGATGGGTTGATTGCTTCCCAAGTAAGAGCGCTATCGGTGCGGGCTGGCACCGATTTGGAAGCGCTTTGCGTGATTTCGACTGCTTGACGTTTTCTTTCAATTGATGCCCTTCTTATCTCCCCGCCTTTCTTATCTCTAGCAGTCCCACTTAAGATAAGTCTGTAGGGACAATAAAGCTGTTCTTCTTCGCCTATCTACTCCGAATGGATAAGATATCACTTCAGCTCGTTGATAGCAGCCATCTTAGCACCTTCATAGCCGCCTCGGTGGCTCCGATGCGAGAGCGCTGGCCTACGGATCCGCATGTGGCGGGTTCGAATCCCGGCCGAAATGCCCGCGATCTGACGGAGGCTTATTGCGGAGGAGGCGCCGTGTAACCGAGCTTTCGGTTGCACGTCAAACGATCCCCAGGTGGTCCAAATGAATCCCCAGTCCTCCGCTGGGGCGTGCCAGATGCCCGTCGTTGGTTTGGCACGTAAAACCGCAAATTCGACTTTTGGCGCCTTCATGCTGCTGCACGGAATATTGCGGAGTCCATCTAAGCTTCTTAGGTAGATCCGTCTGGTTGACCACGTGACATCAAACAGAGTGCCAGGATCTGGCTAGACTAGTTGTGGTGTTAGCTCTGCCGTCTTCTAAAACATTGCCAAAGCAACTTGATAAAAAAGGAAGTAAAAGCTTGGCAGTTTTCCTGGCAACTACAACTCCTTTGTCCAGAATAAAAACCACAGACTTTGAATATATAAAAAAGGGACCATGCAGAGATATTCCCTCCAAACACGACTATTCATTTTATTTCGCATTTTCACTTTTATGCATTCGACGACCCTCCCTAAAGAATACCAACCTCCTCCTCACAAGGTAACAATAAACACAAGAAACAACATCCAGTGCCATGGGGTGACCCCAAACCATAAGAGAGAGAGAGGGGAAATGACTTATTTTTACTCCCGTGTTAAAGACGTTAAAAGGACTTTTGATGGGTGTTGGGATTTAACGGAAAGAATTGGGACAGACGGCACAGGTCTCTCCAAAAAAAACTATGAAGGTTTATTACACCTTCTAGGAATTTTTCAAAAGTGCGTCCGGTCCATTAGACAACTTTGACAAACATCTAGAAACCGTAAAGATTTTTAAAGAGTACGGCACAACATTTCAGGAATCATAGTGGCAGCTATAGATGAACTTTCAATAGGGAAAGCAACATTTCTTAATCGTTTTATAAGTTTATGGTAACAAAACGATACGCAAAAATAATTACGCGAAATTGCTCCCACCCAATTGATGGCGCCAGTGTGTTCTTTCTTCATAAGAGAGCAAAAAACAGCCTTACGTACTCAGTCGGAACCAAGCCTAATTTGGATAAAATGCTTACGCAACTCGAAATCAAAGCGACGGCTCATATGTGACGTCAATGCCGCTAAGGTGTCGGTGCAAACGGACTGAATGAACGGTAAAGGTGCAAGCTCGCATCATAGAGTCCGCCTAGGCGTTTCATTTTAAACCGACACCGGACGAACATTCTATAACGATTTGGAACGAATGAGGGTGTATTAAGTAGAAAGCATTTCAGCTGTTTGCATTAAAAGGGAGCGTGTCTTCGTGCGTCACTTAGATGCAAATAGTCAGACGCGCTGAACGAAGAGCGCCGAGTGAACAGGGAGAAGAAAGTAGTCAAGACCAAGTGCACTCTCAAATGAAGCTTCATTGAAACAAACGAACACTATAAATATCATCTTCTTGGCTGCGTATTTCCGAGAAATGTTGTTTGTGCTAATTTTGAGTCACATGGGCACCTATCGCAGAGCACTGCCAGGTTGCCCTGTAGGGACTGTTTTACTCGCCATGCGCGTGATCTTGATGCCATACATGACCATGCATGATATTTTGCTTGCTTGTTACCTTCCCAGGCAGCACGCGGTGTTGGGCCAAAATGGGAAGAGCATTTTCAAAAGAAAGTCTAATGATGATCCACTTGAGCCAATCTGCTCCCAGATGGCCTATGCCATTATATACAGTATTCAGTGATGGCCCAGCTTATACAGTGACCAACCAATATTGCAATATTTGATGGGAACTGGCATAAAATGGACACTGTGGGCTTGTCTGCACCGCCTTGCCAACATTGGTTAAACACGCGCTTACAATGGTCAATGTTAGCCTGTTAGTATCATCGGCTTATCAACACTGCAAGAACGCAGTGGCATATAATGGTCGATGTTAGTCTGAGAATACCACTGGCTTAATATTGGAAGCATGTTGGAATAGGCTGGTTGAGATGTGTTCGTTTTGCATCGACAAGTTCAAGATACTCGTGCTCTTGTCAACCCACTTTAACTTCGTCAACGCGCGATTTAGGTGTTTTCTGCAACGTATAAGAAATAAAAAAATAACATGTTACATGAATTATTTATGGCGTTTTGCTGCTTCGTTTTGGATATTAAGGCATCGCAAGCGATATGGGCTCATTGGGACAGCCAATTGGGGCCGCCGGTTTACGCGTCTATTCCTTGCCGTTCCGTCGCGGCAAAAAGCATGGGACCTTTCGCTCTAGGTTATTATGTTGACTTTATGATCTCAATAAAAAAGCTTCGTACCCCAAATACTGGTTTGTGGACGGCACTTTGTGCCAGATGGGGATCCTCTTTGCGATTTACTAGTAGAGGAAAATATTCTGGAATGTGGTTATACAAAGACGGCTCTATGACCCTACGGCACTACTGTTGCGACAATAAAACGCCGAATGCCTCCAACATGGCGTCAAGGCACTGATTGGAGAAGGCACCTCTCACCAGCGACAGGTGCCATCTTGTTTCGAAAGTCACTGACGTCACGTCATGTCAGCGTCGCGTTCCGATTGGTTACCATTTCTTGGTTCGCGAAAGCGGTTGGGACAAATCGGTCCCGATGCGGTTGGCTAAAACGCCCTGCAACCCCTCGATCCCAGCCGCTTTGCGGTCCAGAACGCGGGGATCCGCTCCGCGTTTGCGTATCCGCTTCCAGTGTGAACGCGCCATAAGAGCTGCGTTCTAAAAGAAGAAAAGTTCCGACTACTTTTTAAAATCCAACCCAGAACATTGAATTAAGAAGAAAATACCGCACCAGACTGGCTTAATTTTTAGCCTAATCAGCAGCGTGGAGTTGATGGTCACAGTATAAAGAGAAGCGGAAGAGATATTGACTAGAGCTGTGAAAACTCAACGCCACCTTGAGATGACCGGTTGAAGGTTATTCCTGAGGGTTTTCCCTTAGTTATAAGAGTCCTTGTCCCCCTTCGTTACCCTTCTCCAGGGATTATTTTCGCCAATCGTTTACCCTTCACAGGACGTTTCTACTGCCAGTTCACCACTCCGCCTGGGAAAGGCAACCCATAAGCTCTGTTGACCGATTTCGTTAGGAGTAACCCGAAATAGCGCAACAGTTTGATCACCCGACTTGTAGTGTTAAGTTTGAACAACAATGTTCCAAATAGCGAACACAAACTTACCGCGTTTGTTCAACTCCATACATTCCCGTACCAAGACACCGCAGAAGGCGATCAAAGCTCTTAAGAGAGCAATGAAGTGCTGCGCCGAGGGTAGTCCGAGCGCCGAGAGTTTCATACCTAGAGCACAGAGGCGTGCTTTGGAGCACGCGATGCAGGTTGTACTGTACACCTCAGACAAAGAGATGAATCTGGCTCAATTGATGAAAGCGCACGCTGACACGATCGCTGGCATTTGTCCAGCGGTGGCGTCGCAGCAGTTCTGGAGATACAGATACACAAGAAAGTTCGGACGAGATAGTCGCTAAGGCACGTTTGAAGCGTCGCTGAAGTGGCACCATTTCCTTTTTCGCTTCACTTATCGTTTTGCGCAACTAACGATCGCACGCGTGCCCTGAGGCGGTCCTTCCGCCTTGCGCGGTACGGCTGTATTACGCTCCGACGTTGCCTCATACGCACGCTCCGTCCGCAGAACGTCTGTTTCTTTCAGTACACGGGCTCGAGCACGTCGGCAAGGCGCGGCAGGAAGCGGCTGCTCTCCATACGAAGCACATTTCGCGCAACAAGCTGCAGGCCAACGCAAGAATGTTGAACCACGCACAACCTTGCGACGCGATAGGGGTCACGGAAAGTTAGGTCACATAAATCAAAAGCCTAGAAAGGAAAGGGAGGGTCACGGGCTCTCCGTGCGCATCTGCGACGCTCATTTGGTCGCCCGTTTGGAGACAAAATGCTGCTTTTGTTTAGCCGGGTTTACATAAATGCGACTTTAGCGCGTCGACTTCAATCGCCGATATAATGAAATTGACGCATTACACCGATGCGCATCAAATCGTGCACGATGCTAGCGACACGCAGAAATAGATCGGAACGATAAAGCTGCATTTCCTAACCGAGCCGCACAAGATGACAACTTATTATTTATATATTTATTTATTTCAAAATATTGCGACCTCGATGAGGTCATCGAAGGACTGGAAACAAAACATACATATACATTAAAAAAGACAAACAATTAAAGATGTACAAACCCTGTAGAAGAAAGCTAAGAAAGCCTTTAGAAACGCAATATAGCTGAAAAAGAGTACAAAAACGGTCGCATACACTTCACTAGAAGACTAACACGCACCATGCCTAAAGAAATTAGTGTATTTTAATACAAATATGTAAAATTTGATACAACGAACAGATTCATTTATGTTGTAGTTTTCTATCGTTCTGGGAAAAAAATTAATATTTGAAACTGTTCAGTTTGGCGCTGTACGGGGCATGATTTAAAGGATGGAAGATTCAAGTGTGTTATTGAATGACAAAGGCTACGCATTTTCCCGATTAAGTATACAGTTAATATTCACTATTTCGTGCAGGAGCTTAAGTCGTTCTACAGCGCGCCTGGAATTAATAGGCGAGAGTCCTATGTCAGCCATAGAAGGTTGTAGACGGAAACTTTTGGTCATATATATTACGAACAAATCTAATTGCCTTTGCTTGTGTTGCGTCAATATGCTTAATATCACACTTTAGATACGAATTCAATGCCACATAACCCTACTCTGAGATAGGTCTAATCAAGGTCTTATACGCGGTTATTTTACGTTCCTTAGTTTAAGATTTTAAGGTCCTTTGCAGAGCACGACATCGGATAGAACTAATGTGCTTACCCCATTTGAGACAAGGCGTAAATAAAGTACATAAATACTTGTATTCATGAACATGACGCAGAAGTATATTACAACTACCATACTTAAAGCAGACGGTTGAATCTTATTAGTAAATGTCATAACTGATTTCTCAAAATTAATTGCCTCCTGCCACTTCTGACTCCAAATTAGAAACTCTACAAAAGAGTCGTTTAGGAAGGCTCGATCGGTTATCTAACGAGTTGATTTCGTTGTAAAAAGCGCCGTCATTTGTATAGGGGTGAATTACAACTGGAAGAGCACTTGCGAAGTCATTAAAATAAACTAAAAACAAAAAAGACCCCATAACCGATCCCTGTGGGATGAAGTAATTAACCAAGACATTGCTAGAGCGAACATCACTGTATGAGACAAACTATAATCTATTTTATAGATAATCTTCAATAAATTAAAGCAATTAAAAGAACAAACGAGGGCAGATAAGCCCAAGTTTTTTCAACATCTCTCTTCCCAACGTTATAAAATCGTCGCCTAGAAAGTTTTGGAATCATATCTTGCCAAACACTACAAACACGAATGCGTTTACAATTGATGGCGTTCTTGAAACAGACTCTAGAAAAATAGCTGATCACTTCAACACACAGCTTAAATCTGAGTTTATACGTGATGATGCCATCGTGAACCCTTTTACCAAGTTTCACCGCTTACCAGCCCTTGAGAATGTGCGTGTGACTGAACAGGGAATTTTAAACTTACTTTTAAACAGATCCACGGAAGTCTAGTGGGCCAGATGGCTTGCCAAACGCGTTGCTAAAACGATATGCAGAGTTTGTGTCGTATTATCTAGTAATTATATTCAACAGGTCACTAAATGATGGCGACGTGCCGATTGATTGGAGGATGGCCAGAGTTAAACCGCTACATAAAACCGGAAACAAAGTGGTGATTACTAATTATATACCTATCTCTTTAACTTGTTCTGTCTGTAAACTCCTCGAAAACATTATTAATAAACACATTTTTGAATTTCTCGATACACATAACGTACTCTCGAGCAGCCAAGATGGCTTCAGACGAGGATCTTTCACAACGACTCAGTTGCTTGAGACAGTTCATGACCTTACCTCCGCCCTCAACAAGAAACGTCAGGTAGATATAATATTTATCGATTTTACGAAAGCGTTCGATCAAGTATCGCATGCAAAGCTCCTAAAAAGTTGAATACCTACTTAAAAAATAATCAAGTTATTGGTTGGATCCAAGCTTACCTAACAAACCGCTACCAATATGTATAATTTAGTAATGAGGGTTCTTCCCTACTTTCAGTGGACTCTGGCGTCCCCCAGAGATCGGTACTTGCGCCTTTGTTGTTCTTGCTATTTATCAACGATATTCCCGATGAGATTTCTGTCGAAATACGTCTTCATGCCGACGATTGTGTGATTTGTAACGAAGTCAAGAGTGTTGATTACCAATTTAAGCTTAATGATGATTTGAACAAGATTTTCAAATGATGTGACACATGGCGAGAAGTGTACAAATTATGACAAAAGTGTTTCTATGTCCGTCACTAATAAAACTAAGCCGCTTTCATTCTCCTATCACATGACCGAACATATCCTAAGGGAAGCTACTAAATTCAAATATCTGGGCCTCTGGATCAGTTCCGATCTTAGATGGGATAAACAGATCAATTTAATTTCCTCTAACGCCCCCCGTAGATTATTTTTTCTCAGGCGAACATTAAAATCTGCCACTTGAGATACTCGACTCCTGGCGTACAAGACTCTTATCCAACCGACCCTAGAATATGCAAACTTTATTTGGGACCTATTTACACACGTAGGAATCAATCGCATACAACGAATACAAAACAAAGCTGACAGATTCATTTTTAACGCCTATAGGAGGGCGTCCATTTCCGAGCTTAGGAAACAGCTTGGGTTTGTTCCGGTTGAAGAACGTAACCGTGTATGCAGACTTCGTTTTCTATTTCAAGTAATTAAGGGACAATATAAAATTAACGTTTACGAATACATCACTTTCTCGACTGGTTACGCCACCCGAGGAAGAACCCCACCTTACCATTACACCTTACCAACCGCGCATCAACAGTTTCAAATTCTCCTTTTTTCCTCGAACGATTCTAGAATGAAATGGGCTTCTTTACGAAATTATTAACCAAGACACTGTAAGTGCATTTGTTTCCGCTTTGTGGTCAGAATGAGTAACTCTTTGGTGCTTTATCGCTTCGTTTTATGTTACTTTCTACCCTGCTAGGATCCCTGATAGGGAGCAGCAGTATTTGTAAATAAGAATAAAGAAATAAATAAATTAACTAATGACGTATTATTTAATATTGCTTGTATTTTCTAAAGAAGCTTATGATGTGGCCCTTTATCGAAAGCCTTAGAATAGTCTACAAAGATAGCATCAAGTTGTCCTCATTTATCTAAAGTAAAAGCTATGTCGTGAGTGAATTCAAGAAGTTGGGTTGAGTTGGAGTAGCCACGACGAAAACCATGCTGTTGTGGGAAAATAATAGAATTAGTCTCGAGGTACTCGGATATCTGCTTATAGACTATATGTTGCAAGAGTTTGCATTACATGAATGTCAGCGAAATGGGTCTGTAGTTTGTAACCACCTGCTTGTTGCCTGACTTGAATAAGGGGATGCTTTTAGCTGAGCTCTTTGACCGAGGTGCTGCTGCAGTAGACGTATCTATTTAAAAAAAAATCACAGATAGGAATATTGAAGTCTACAGTGGCTATCGGCAGAGAGAAGAATTGGGAATTTCATCAGGGCCGGGGCTCTTGCAATCTAGTTTCTTTAGTTGATTGAGGACGCCAGAAACACTGGTCTGTCAATCTGATAAAGCTGGGTATATTCAATCAAGGATCGTTAAAAAGATAGTTAAATGAAAATCGTTACCATTATCACGACGGAATGCAGATATCAAATAATCATTAAAAGAGTCTGCTATCAATGTCGGAACACATTTATCTTGAATAGTAAAACTCTGCGATATGTTCATTTTGAATAGTAGACATCCAAAATTTTCCAGAATTTGTTTTTTATGAATTCAAAAAAAGTCCGATTAAAATATTTGGTTGTAGCTGTAGCCTTTTTTTCTTTCTAGGTTTTTTTTTCAAATATTCAAACGAGATATTAACAAGTAAGTGTGTGTTCTGTTTCGCTGAACGACGTTTACTCTTCGTTTTCAGCACCTCTCTCGTAATCCAGAGGTGCACAGGAATATTTTCATTCTAGTAATAGGTACGAATTTGTTGATGCATTTATCTATAAGGGTGGTACGCACCGCTGGGAGACGTGGCGCCATCTATCGCTAGTTACTACAATATCAAAGCAACGTATTGACATCAGCGTCTAGACCTATGGCGCAAAAATCATGAGAATAAAAACTAAGTTAAATAATTATGGATAAATCCTCAGCTCCGTTGAAATCAAGGGACGCAAGGAATTCAGGGTCCGAATACTTGATACGAATGTTGAGGCTAACTAGGACAACTTTATGATAAGA